AACCCAAGGAAGCCGGCTTTTTATTATTTTTTTTTTTTTTTAAATTGTACCTTTTATTTGCTGGGGAAGGGAAGTGATCCCTCACGTTAATAATGGAGCCTTGGCCTGGTGCGGGCAGGTGTGGGGCCGAGCTGGGGCGAAGCCGGGCTGCCAACCCCAAAACCTGCCCTCTGCAGCCCCCACCCACCTCTCCCACATCCTGATGCCCATAACCCGCGAGCTCTGCCCTTTTGATGCCCAGGGGGCCTGGTAGTCTTGGCCTGGCAGGAGCTGGCTGCTGCTTTTTTGGGGGGGTTTCCCTCGGTTGTGCCCGCTGAGGTCTCTGTGGAGGCCACGTCTTGGGTGCTTCCAGAGCCCACCATCAGGTCACCTTCATCTTCTTGGCTTGTTTAAACAGGCTGTTGTATTGAAAATATACCTAAAAGACAGCTTTTTTTTTTAAAAAAAAGTCACTCCGTGCAGCCATTAGTACCGGTTGTTTTCTTTCAGCATTTTACCCTTTTTCTGCAAGATGATTTGTTCATAAATGTCAATACTTACACTGGAATGTTACAGGGAAGAAATCATCCTATGGAGCATGGAAACTTATAAAATCATAGAATGGTTAGAGTTGGAAGGGACCTTAAACACCATCTAGTTCCAACCCCCCTTCCATGGGCAGGGACACCTCCCACTAGACCAGGTTGCTCAAAGCCCCATCCAGCCTGGCCTTGAACACCTCTAGGGATGGGGCATCCACAGCTTCCCTGGACAACCTGTTCCAGTGTCTCACCACCCCCAGAGTAAAGAATTTCTTCCTAACATCCAATCTAAATCTACCCTCTTTTAGATTAAAACCATTGCCCCCTGTCCTATCACTACATTCCCTGATAAAGAGTTCCTCTCCACCTTTCCTGTAGGCCCCCTTTAGGTACTGGAAGGTCACTATAAGGTCTCCCTGGTGCCTTCTCTTCTCCAGGCTGAATAACCCCAACTGTCTCAGCCTGTCTTCATAGGAGAGGTGCTCCAGCCCTCTGATCATCTTTGTGGCCCTCCTCTGGACCCGCTCCAACAGGTCCATGTTCTTCTTATAGTGGGGTCCCCAGAGCTGGACGCGGTACTCCAGGTAGGGTCTCATGAGAGCAAAGTAGAGGGGCAGAATGACCTCCCTCGACCTGCTGGGCACATTTCTTTTGATGCAGCCCAGGATGCAAAACCCAAAACTATTCAAGCTTGAGGGGTCTGGAGTGATGGTTTTGCAATGCTGAGTGCCTTGTCTCGGTGAAAATGAGGTTTTATTTGTTGGTCGCTGCTCCTAGTCGCCTTCCTCTCTGGGAATGTATTCTGCTGACATATATATGCTTTCCTTTTAGGAGTAATGAGAACGTTTGGGGTAAGTTTTCATACTGTAAGACCTCTTGTTTCTCAGGTCTCTGGAATTTGCTGCTTTTCCCAATTCAGTTCACTACTTAAATGAAGAGTATACCATTCTTCTATGTCAGTAAAGCAGGCTGTAGGATGTTCAGTATTGCATGGTATATGTACCATATAATGTCAGTGTTTTCCCCAACTAATAGAGTATGTTCAATTGTAAGTGTCCTACTTGCTGATAAGCTTTTGTGATTGAGCTGATATTCAGCATGATTTGGATGAATCCAAAGTGTAAGTTTTGCATAAGATACTTAAACTGTTTTCTAATCTCCTCAGTTGTATCTATGATGTCCCTCACCTTTTCACTGTTTTCATGCTTAGATTAGGAGGTATGTTTTTTAATGGTATTTTCAAGCCTCTTCAGGCTCTACCATTTATGCATTAAGGCTTTAGAGAATGGTCTTTGGCCAGTGTTTTGTGGATGGTCATACAATTCTCCTGGCTTTAGATCTCAGGACAGAGAGTACAATTTCACTAGACAGCAAATTAAACAAACATTCCTTTCATTTGCCCTCTTCTGTATCAACAAGCATAAAACCAAGGCAAAGATAAGATTAAATCAGTGGTGTTCTTCACCACTTATGGGTTAAATATTAAATTTAATAGCCTTATTGCAATAATGTTTGGTGCAAGAAGACTAAAATCAAATTTTCGTAGCAGATCTGTAAATGTGGCGTTAACGTTTTTCCCAGCTTTCTTGTCCTGAAGACTCTGTGCAGTTTGTCTTCCTCAAATCTACCTGTTGGCACTGCAACTGTTGGAGAAAGCTACTTTAACATAAGCTAAAAGAAGCACTTTTTCTATTTCTTCTGCTATTGCATCATTACATTACAGGACCCATCAGCATAGGAAGTTGTGAAAGCCAGAAGCATAAATGTGTTCCGAAGAGATTGCACACATTTTTGGACAACAGGTTCATTCATGACTATTCGACCTAATGCAACTTCTGGCTCAGGAAGTCTGTACATCACCGATTACCAGAAGTTGACAGGGTAGCTGGAGGAAGGATCATGGTATGCTTTATGTGTTGCTGACAGTCTTTTTCTCAGCATCTAGCTCTGTCCCTTAGCAGAAAATTGATGCAGAATGAGAGGGACTCTGAGTTCGATTTGTGTCTGATTTGTTATAGCTGTTCTGTGCCCACTTGACAAGACATGCAAGTTTACAAACAATACCGATAGGGAAATTATTTTATATATTCAAGGAGGTATTAGGGTCATTTCAAATCATTAATAGTGGTGTGGGTATCACATGCTTTGCGTATCTAAGATAATGAAGGAATGTTTCAATAGGAAAATGGCACAGAGGGATCGAGGGGCAATAATACAATCTGGAAATGCTCTAGTTCAACATCATTAATCCATGTGCTTCTTCAACCAGTCGATGTATTTGGATACCCTTGTGTAAACCCCATAGCTGCCTTTAACAGCACAGCCCTTTCCCCAGCTGACAATCCCAGTCAGAAACCAAGTGTTCTTGTACTTTGTAGCGTGAGGTCCACCACTGTCTCCTTTACAGGAGTCTTTAACGCCAGTCAGGTCTCCTGCACAGAACATATTCTCTGTAAGATTTAAATCAGTCTCCTTTTCACATTCTTGTGTCTTTACGCGTGGCAAATCAACTCGCATCAGAACAGAAGAGGTGGCACCTCCATCTAGTAGGCGTCCCCATCCGCTCACTGTGGAGAACTTGATGGAGGACAGTTCATACACTGCAAACCGTTTTTCAGGCAAACATATCGGCACCACGTAATCAGTGAGATTCACAGGTGTTTCCAGGCTCAGAAGGGCAATATCGTTATTGACTTGTCCATTTATGTATCCTTCATGAACGATTATTCTGGCAACTCCACTTTCTTGCTCCGTTTTCTCATCGTAATTTGTTGAGTGTTCACCTGGAAAAGTTATTAATCGCAGGTCATGTCAAGCAGCTCCTTGATTCCTCAGAAGTTTGTGGAGATAAGGGGGTTTCTATTCTGATGCTTCTTAAGGACAATTCCCTTATTTTACCAAAGCCTGCACTTTTTGTCTTCTACTCTGGTTTGTCAGGATGAGAAGTTGCCACCACAACGACAGCTCGATAACATGAGGAGGGGAAGATACGTACCCAGTCTCACCCGAAGCTGTTTAGGATGAGTATACTCCAAACAGTGAGCTGCAGTGACCACCCACTCTGGGGAAAGCAGTGTACCACCACACTTTTCTTTCTGATTCTGTATTATAAGGGCCTGCCAACATAAAACAAATTTATGTCTTACATCAAATACGCACTTGACCTGAATCTCAGTAGTTGTAGTCAGGTTTTATATTGCTTCTATATCTCACTTTATGCAACTGTGTTTGAGAATACGGTGCTGATTGTCTGGAGAATTTAGGAGGGGGGAGTCTTTCCACTGACATTTTCTCCATTTTGTAGTATGGACCCTGCCTATTATGGCCAAGAGCGTATCCCTCCAAGCTCCAGCTAAAATTCTTGCTAGCAGTAAGGTTTAAGGACTAAGGGGTCAGGAGCCAGAGAAGGTTGTATTACTGGACTCCTATGAAAGCAGCCACTCCAGAACAAGGCTAAATGCATGATTGAAACAGGTGGATCTGCTGGCTGTGGCTGAAGAGGGAATTTGGGTATCCAGACCTGCGCTTTTAATGGATTTTTAACATAATAGATTTAAAGCAATGAATTTAAGATAGTGGTTTCATAAGGAAAAAAAAAACAAGGCAATGAAAGATTTCGGAAGACTCACTTGCCATGGACATTCACCTGGAGGACAGATTAAACCACCTACTATTCTCCCTCGTGCAGTTGCATTTTTTTTTGCCAGCACTGGTATTCTTCCACATGGGTATGTCACTAAAAAATAGAAAAAAAAAAAAAGTTATTTTATTGTACTGAATTCACAGCAAAATGTGCAAGGCCTTCAGTGAAGTTATGTTAGCTGAAAAACTGGTTACTAGTCTGGGACCATGGGTTCTCAAAAGTAATTTAAAGCAGCTCAGTAGGTAGGTAGTCTTTTTGTTTGGAAACAGCCAGAAACACTTTTACAAATGGAGTGCAGGGCCATACAGTATCATTGACATATTGACACTTACCACAGGAGTTTGCAAACAATATACCTGCTTAAGTTATATGTCAATACAGTGAGGTAGGCTGCAGGCTGGAGAGCAGAAGTGGCTCTGTCAAGCTTTGTCGTCTACATGTTTTCAGTGACCCTGCTGACTTTAACTCAGTTGTACTAAGTGCACAGCATCCATGGCATGGTGAGACGCAGGCTTAAGCATGCGACGTGCAGCTTGCTATCCCTTGTGTGAATGATGGACCTGAAGATCTCAGAACAGACACTATGTCTTCTGGTATGCCTCCCAGCAGACTGTGCCTAGTTTGCTTGGGTCCAGAGCATCCTTGATTCTTCTGGACTGCACATCTCAGTCTAGGGTCCGTTTTCAGCCTGAGCAAGTGAAGATTGGCAATAAGAGAATCAAATCTTGAGGACTAAACCTGCAACTGAGCTGCATTGCAGAGGAAGCCTTGGTGTTTTCAGTAAATCCTTCACCCAACAGAGTTTTCCTTTCAAGAAGAGGAAGAAGGTCTAACGTTGGGGGTTTTTTGTGTGCCGTGTGGCTGTGCTGTAACTGAACATACCGTCCCTCACATCCAGCCGTCACTCTGCGATAATGCTGTGGGGACGAGTGCTCACCCTCTGTCACTTTGGGAGCCAGGGCCCTGTAGTCTATGCTGAGCTGAATCCGACATCCCCATGGATCTGTAAGAGCCTGAATGTGCCGATTACTTCACCTGTTGCAAAGACAGCATCAGCCTTTTACAGCAACAGGCAAGGTACGGAGAAACAGGACTGGCTCTGTGGTGGCATCTGGTGGAAGGTCAGCATAGACATACCACAAACCCATACCCTCTAACGCTGTATGCAGGGCAACCCAAGCGTGGGCGTTTGAAACGGACATTGTGAGAGATGACAGAAGGACGGTGAAGGGGTTGGCAGTCTGGCAGTTACACGGTTTTGTCTCCTTGCAACACACAGTCAGTGCTACGGGTATTTTGGTCCCCAAGAAGCAAGCAGCAACAAATACATCTTCCTCGCAGGGGAAGATGCGCTGAAAAGCCTGTGGGGAATATCGAATTCGTTGTTGTCGGCTTTTAACAAAAGCAGCTTCCCCATCACGTGATATTGCAGAATCAGCTAATAAGGGATAAGCGCATTACTGGACATTGTTTTCTAATGAAATTGCAGTTGTTGAGAGTGAGGTTGTCATTATCAGTTCTCTGCATGAGTGCTCCGTTGAGGTGTGTGTAGGGGGGCATTGCCCCTCAGAATTACTTTGCACACTTCCTGCAGCTCTGTCCATTATTTTCATATCCCCAGGGGTCTCTTTTTCCCCTCTAATAAGTAATTGAAGTAGGCATCTGCAATAGAGTCAGGTGCCAGCTTATGTGTTGGAAAAATAATTAACTTGTGCTATCCTAGTCCCAGTTGAAATTTACCTTGTTAGATGAGTAAGAGAAATACGTAGCCGTAGTGTCTAGAGGAATACCAAAAGTGTATTGGTCCTACCAAATAGGAAAAAAAAAAGGAGAAAAAAAAAACCCAACTGATTTTATCTGGTTTTAATAGCCCTCTTCCTCTCTTGCCTCCTGTGCTGAAATAAAAATGATAATAAAATCCATAGTCACAAATTCAGGTTGGAGATCCAACAGTAAAACAGTGCTGCCCCCAAAATATTTTCCCAACAAACTTTACTGCTGGGGCCAGGAAGGAGAGGTCCAAAAGGCTCCCTGCTGGCTGTGCACACTTCCATGACTGCTTTTCTGGGGTCTCTAACTTCCATTAGAAGCCCAAAGCCGCTGCTCTGGACTCTGCCCTTGAAGAAGAGGTGAGGAGCTGGTGAGGGTGATACCTCACACCTCCTGATGTGTACCTGTTGGAAACTTTTCTTCCAGAGCTGGCTTGGACTTAGCATCCAGGTTGTAGTATCTTACCTTGGGGAATGCAGGACACACCATCACTCGCTAAAGCGTAGTCGTCCGCACAGAAGCACACTCGTTTTTCAGACTGCTCGTCAGTACAGTACTGTTCACAGCCACCGTTGTCGTAAATGCACTTCAGTTTGTCAGCAATCGCTAAAGTCAGAGAAAGAGTATTTAGGTTTCCAAATGTGGATTTTGGTGCTTAACACGGGTCAATTGTAGCATGAAATGTTGACAGGGAAGCAAGGCAGCAAAGCAGATTTCTGTGATTTATGCACAGTGACTGCATGAAAAACACCTTCCATGTGGTGAAAACGAGGTAGACCTGGATCTCCAGGGACTGGGGAGGAAAAGTCTATGCCTAAGAAACACATACCTAAAATTAAATCACTCTGCATTTATACAGTATCTGAGCTGTCTGGAGGTGTTGCAATTGTGTGGTAACCAGCGCGATATATGACTGAAAAATTAGAACTATTTTGTATTTTGACATTTGGCAGAAGGATGCTCTGGGATGACCGCTGAGACTGCCCGGTTAGACTTAATGACTGCCTAGTCCTCGTTTGGGCTCAGCGTGTTCTGAGGGTATAAGTGTAACACCCAGTATGCAATGCCCACTGAAATCAATGGAAGGACTTCATTAACTGCTGGATCTGTCCCCTCGGGCTTTATACGATGCATATGCAGCGTCATCCTTATTTGCATACCACGCTGAGCTTCTAGTAACCAGTCAAAGTAACCAGCACTTGGGTAGGAAAAAAAATTCCTCCTTTTCTCTCAGATGGTGCACAAAAGGCAATTTTATTTTTGTTTTCCAAAGTCATCATAGGGTAATAATTATCTTGCTGCCTTGCAGTGCCTGGCTGCCAGCTGGTTAGATCCATCATGCGACACCGCAGGCAGCGTGAACAGTAGCTGTCACGGCTAGAATGATGCAAAATGATAACGATTGCTAGTGTTTATCTCAATGCCCTGCATTTCAATTAATAAT